GGCAGACCCTCCTAACCCGATATCCATGCTAGTTTGACAGATTTGCTCCTTTGATTGAATGGAGAGCTCTTTGTTGGCACTTTTGACATGGTCTCTCGTTCTTGATAGCAATGGAGCTGGTAAATCAGGATACCTCTGTTGGGGACCCTTCCCCTTTTGTCGAGTATTCACCATGGTCACTGTTCTTTGAAAAATCTTGTCGTTTCCCATAGACGGTGCTAGATTGTGCGGGATAATTTCTGCACAATAGTTGAAATGAGAACAGATCTCTCCCATGATGAGATTCGACCCGTTAAAATGGCAGGTTCGACAACAAGGAATATGTTGAGAGGGCCTAAGGACTAGTGATGAATTACTTATGGTGCTGACAGAACCAATCCTGGTGGTTCGCGAAAGACTCCTGGAATACAAAATAAGGGTTAGAAGGGCGCTGGAGAGCTTTTCGGCGTATCTCCTCCGACGATCAAGTCAGTTCTTTGAGAGAGGGGAAGAAGAAAACACTGTTTTGAAGGTTTTTGAGAGATGATTTTGTGTACCTTTGCAATGTGTTCTTAAGGACTATTTATGCCTTCCAGGGCTCATCATTGCCGGTAGCCTAGGCAGTAGGTAGCCTTCAGAGATGGGACAACGTGCCCCATACTTTTCATGGAGAATGTCTCCAATTTAATTGCTCGAAACTGTTTGAGCATTCAATGCTTTTTCTTCAATGTTGAGGCATTGAATGCTCAGATCCCAAAGCATTTAATGCTTTTACTTCTTGGCTCATCAAGCAATGTTAGATGTCTTGTCAACTGATGATACATTAAATGCCTATCTTTATTAACCGCATATCAGTAGAGGTAGTCCCGTCTTTTTTACCCCTTACACCACGTGCCTGACTGTCCCTAGTTGAGTGTCCAATTCAATCTGTCATTCTGACTACTTTATGTAGGGGTATTCTCACAGTCCCTAGTCTAGCTTAGACTGCTTAGTTGTCAGTCACTAGCCTTCTTAAAAGGTGAGGGTCCATGGCAAGGTCGAAGAGAGCATCCTCGGGGCCGAGGGGGCACATTTTGAACCCAAGGAACATGTGTAGGAGTAGAGGGGCATGTGAGGTCAGGCGGAGTACCCTCGGGACAGAGGAGACACGGGGCCGAGGACACATGTCGCTGATCTAAGACCCTTTTAGAAATGTCTCATTAGATTGGAAGGTATATGATAACTGAAATATAACTTCGTTGAGTCGTACCGGGTATCCATGATTATTTGGACCATGTTGGATAGGTAGAGAAAGCAAGAAATGAGACATTGACATGGTGAATCGTGTATCATTAGATGTGAACTAGCATGTCATTCTGGGGGAGAGGTGAGCCTTTAGTGGATTTTTCATGACCACGGTGAACTGTTGACTCTCTGATAGATCGACATCGACGGTCGTCCATTCAAAGTACCAAATCAAATTGGCCACGAAATATTCTAAGTGTAGCAATGCCAAATCAAAGGCAGGACATCTCCTTCTCCCTGCATCGAATGGCATCGTCTTGATCTCTCTCGTCCCTGTAATATCGAACGCTTCCCCTCCATTAATCTTCTTGTGATCACCAGCAGCAGTGGAAGTCATAAATCTCTTGGGCTTGAACTCCATGGGATCATCCCACACCTCTAGGTCCCAACCCATCTCAGCAACCATGAAATGCACGGCGGCATTCTTGGGCACCACATAGCCCTCTAACTCCACCTCCTCCGTCGCCGTGAGGGGTAACACGAAATGCCCCGGTTGGTGACGTCTAAGACCTTCCAACACCACCGCTTTCAAGTATAGCATCCTCTACAGATCCTTCTCTTCTATGGTGTTGACCATCTCTTCTTCTCCTCTTCCCTCCCCTTTTCTAGACGGAGGTGCTCCGACAACACTCCTGATCTCTTCGTATAAGTTGGTCTAAATATGATGGTACTTCACCAAATTGGCCATGATCCATTGAAGAGCGGTTGACGTGGTGTCAGTGCTGACATTAAGAAACTCACTGCACAGGCCCACCATCTCTCCCTCACTGAGCTTTCTCTTCTTTTCCAACAACTCCAAATCCACCAGTGTGTCCACGTACGCCACCACGCCCTCTTCACCATTTCGCTTCTCATTCTATCTCCGATGTTCTTCTTTAATTCGAGCATTGATAAGAGGATTGAGTATATTGTCCTGATCCTGGCACATTTGTAAGAGCTCTTTCCATCGGTTACGGAACACAATCTTTTCAAGGCCAGGCCAGAAATCGAGAATTTTAAATTGTTTAAAAGTCAAAAGCAACTGGCGTTGTACGGTCTCAATCTGTTTGATTTCATTTTCGTTGAGCTTGTCACCAAAGCACATAAAGACCAGCACACAGAACATGGCGTACTGGAAATGATCAACTGCCTTCACCGCCCCTCCCAATTGGGCAGATTTGAGGAGGCGATCTGATGAGACATTTCTAGAAGGGTCTTAGATCAACGACATGTGTCCTCGGCCCGAAGGCTCCCCTACTTAAACTTAGCTCCAACATCCCTCAGTCCCGTGTCTCCTCGGTCCTGAGGGTATTCTACCTGACCTCACATGCCTCTCTGCTCCTACACATGTTCCTTGGGTTCAAAATACGCCCCCAAGGGTGCTCTCTTCGGCCTTGCCATGGACCCTCACCTTTTAAGGAAGTTAGTGACTGACAACTAAGCAGTCTAAGCTAGACTAGGGACTGTGAGAATACTCATGCATAAAGTAGTCAGAATGACAGATTGAACTAGACACTCAACTAGGGAGAGTCAAGCACGTGGCGTAAGGGGTAAAAAAGACGGGACTACCTCTACTGATATGCGGTCAATAAAGATAGGCATTTAATGTATCATCAGTTGACAAGACATCTAACATTGCTTGATGAGCCAAGAAGTAAAAGCATTAAATGCTTTGGGATCTGAGCATTCAATGCCTCAACATTGAAGAAAAAGCATTGAATGCTCACATAGTTCGAGCAATTAAGATGGAGACATTCCACATGAAAAGTATGGGGCACGCTGTCCCATCTCTAAAGGCTACCTATTGCCTAGACAACCGACAATGATGAGTTCTGAAAGGTATAAATAGTCTTTAAGAACACATTGCAAAGCTGCGCAAAATCATCTCTCAAAAACCCTCAAAAGAGTGTTTTCTTCTTCTCCTCTCTCAGAGAACTAACTTGATCGTCGGAGGGGACACGCCAAAAAACACTCCGACGCCCTTCTAACCCTTCTTTTGTGTTCCAGAAGTCTTTCGCGAACCACCAGGATCGGTTCTGCAGCACCAGAAGCAATTCATCACCAGTCCTTAGGCCCCCTTTGGCCTTCTCAACATATTCCTTGTTGCCGGACCCGCCATTCCAATGAGTCGAATCTTACCGTGGGAGAGATCTTTTCTCATTTCAACTATTGTGCAGAAATTATCCCGCACACAATCCGATACGCCTACCTTTCGTATACTACTCACAATTTCCAATAGCTTTTTAAAGGTTTCCGATGCTGTATAAATTTTGGGTCTTGTATGTAAATCGAAGAACTCGATCATGTTTTTCATACTCCAATTTATACTTAGCAATGACTTGATGCCGAATGCACAAAATAGTGTCATTTGATAGAGAGTTGAATTGGAATAAAGAACCCCGTTGAAAATGTTCTTTTTTCTTAAAATATTGATTAGGATAAACTCATTTCTATGTTAAACAATCATTTATTCTAAAATTTATTTGAGAGGAAGTAACATAAATATTTATATTTAAATACTTATATTTTAACATGTCCCCTTATGTACAGACTAGATTTTGGGATAGTATGTGAATTTTTTTTTAATAATTAAAGTGGCGGCAACGAACATAGAACTACAGCTTTGATACCACGTTAGATTTTGGGCTTAGTTCATTGTCTTGAGTTTGCGGGTGGTGCCTGATCAAAGCCATGGATTCCACAGATCTATACAGCTATTCAAATATATTTGCTTGGCCTAGTGTTGCTGCACCACCTGCTTTTGCATCCATTGCTTTTTACGTTCTTAATTTGTGTGTCTGTTATTTTGTTTGTTTGTAAGTGGGTTCTTTTTGCAAGTATAAAGGAGGAAATGATTTCAGTATTTTTGAAAGGTTGCGGGGTCAAAGCTTCGGATTGGATAAAGAAGGAATGGGCAACTGATTTTTGTATTGGACAGTCTCTAGGCGTGATGCTTGGGCAGTGTGTAGGCATGGAGAAAGTTGGACAGCGAACTAGGATTTTATGTATAGGAAAGTGAACTAAGGGACTAGAAAGTGAAGATTGTGAAATCTAATACAAGAGCTTAAGAGGCATACTCTATTTTAGTTTGGAATAATTTTCTCGGCTTTTCAGTATAGGGGCATTGAACTAAGAGGTATTTGGACTTCAAAATGTTTATTTTACTGTTCAATTTCACTGAAATTTAATATTTATTTTGCTGTCGTGTAATTAATTTCACTATAACAAAAATAAGACAGTAAATTAAGAGATATTTAATTCACCGGTCGGTTTCACTAAATTTGATATTTATTTTAGGGTTCTTACACTTTGTATTCTTAAAAATGTGTCAATTCCCACTTTACACTCTAGAAGATTATTTTTCTCACATTACACTCTGAATGTCATAAATTAGTTCTAATGTGGCTTTCAAACTAACATTCGTTTCAAATTTTGTTAAAAATTGATGTATTTGCCACCCACGTGTGTTGCTATTGGGCAAAAAATGTAAACTCACAATTCTTATTCTTTGGTGGCATGTGCATCAATTTTTAATGAAATTTGAAACGGATGTTAATTTGAGGATCACATTAGAACTAATTTATGCATTTAAGGTGCAATGTAGGAAAAATAATCTTTCGGGATGCAAAATGAGAATCAAGATATTTTTGGGGGTACAAAGTGCAAAAAAATCCCTTATTTTATTGTCTTCTTGCCAAAGTTGTTGGGGTAAATCTTGAGATTGTGAAAAAGAAATTCTTGAGATATTGTGGGAAAATCAGTCATATTTGGTTAGATTTTGAGTTTTATGATAGAAGGAAGATATAACAGAAACACCTTTGGATGTTGACAAGGACAGTGAAGTAGGAGTTTCATTTTATTAAAGTTCACTGTTTGTAAATTTTTTTGAATTAAGAGTTTTATTTTATTAAAGTTCATTATTTTTGGAGTTCATTATTTAAGTTTTTTTCAATGTTTTTTGGCGGCAATGGTGGCAATGGATGACAATGGTGGGTGGTGATGGCGACAGTGATGGTGGGCGACAACGATGGTGGTGATGGACAATAGTGGTGAGTTTTGGGTGGTGGTGATTGATAGCAATAATGGCGGGGGAGGCGATGTTGGCTGGGGGTGGCGGCGGTGATGGTGGGTGGCGATGCTGGCGGTGGGTAATGGTGGCAGCGCGTGTTGATGGTTTTTGGCAGCGGTGGTAATAGTGTGGTGGCTTTAAGCAACAGTGGTGGGCGATGACGATGGTTGTGGTGGGCATGGGGTGGATGGTAGAGGCAACGGTGGTGGTGGCTTTGGGTGATGATGGTTGGTGGCGATAATGGTGGTAGGTAATGGTGGTAGGGACAGGTGGTGTACAAGGTTGGGTGGCAATGGTGGAGGTGGTGATGATGATGATGGTAGTGGCTATGGATATAAGAATGAGATAATGATATATATTTTTAAATAACCTCCTCCATTATGGGTATTTTTGTCAAGAATAGATTTTATAGACTTTTGATCTTAAAAGTATAAGCAATGCTACATAGGCTTAAAAAACAAACTTGATGATGTGGCTATTATATGTGTCATTAATTTAACTGTGAGTCTCTGTATTTATTAGGACTTACTACATATTCAATGGTAGTGATTCATCAAATCAAAATTTTAAGTTAGTTTTTTTAAATCTATTTAGCATTTTCCTAAAAGTATTTAGGTTGGACCTAAAGTCAAAAAAGTCCCTAAATGTGGACTTCTCGCCAAATCTCCTAAGAAGAACTTAAATAGGAGTATAAGAGAGGAACAAGAGAAAGAAGAGAGGATACTTAAGAGATAGGATACAGAAATTAATGAAAAGGAGATGATGAGAAAGACAGTGAAGAAGGAGAGAGACATGTTAGAGAAAACATTCTCTACTCTTCATGCTTCTAATGTGCTTCTGCGGTAGCAATATAGAGAGTGAAGGTTCACTAAATACTCTGATATGATATCATGTCTTCTTGTGGTTGAATAAAATAACGAGCTTTTGATGAAGAATCATGAATCTCGCTCGACCAGTTCTATAACATTCCATAAAGTGAATGCCACCTCATACCATGGTAGTGGTAATAAACATGGGCGTGGTTGAAATGAGACACCGTGGTCATAACATCTCACCTCACCACTAGAGGTGGGCAAACAAAGATGCAAAGCAATATGAAGGGTATGATTTGCTGAATAAACCGTCCAAAAACTATGAATAAGTTTGCCATATGTGTGGTATAAAAGGACATTGGTCACATACCTGTCGTATGTCCAAAAATATTTGGTGGACCTTTACCAGAAATTCATAAAGGAAAAATGAAAGAAGATAGAAACAAATTTCATTGATCACTGTGAATTAATGGATCTTACTTGCCTTGATGTTCCCTATCCAATTGACATAACTCTCCTTGATGTTTCTGATTTCTTTGTCAATCCTAATGGAAAAATTGGTCATTTGATTAGTGATGGGAATATCCACATCGATTAGTGTTATTTTCCTTATCGTATTATCTTTTTTAAAAATCTCTTTAGTTTTAGATGTTTTATTTCAGTTGAAGATTATTGTGACTT